GTGACTGCCCTGTTTTGCAGGTGACATGTATGAGGTGGGTGCAGAGAGTGGCCGTTACTACTGTCTGAACGTGCCCCTGCGGGATGGCATCGATGACCAGAGTAGGTGTTCCTGCCCTTTCCCCCTGCCCAACTGTTTCCTGGTCCTCTGTTCCAAAGCCATGACAGATCTACCTTTCTCTCCAAAGGTTACAAACACCTCTTCCAGCCAGTCATTAACCAGGTGGTAGATTACTACCAGCCCACCTGCATAGTACTGCAGGTAAGGAGGCCAAGCTCTGCACACAACCATCCCTTTTGGAGCCTGTAGGTTGGAGAGGGCTATCCCAGTGTTCCCTGCTGTTCCTGGGGTAGCAGGCTCGGTGTGTATCTGGAAAGCAGTGCCAAAATTCTCTTGTTTTTCTGTTCCCCAGTGTGGTGCTGATTCTCTGGGTTGTGACCGTTTGGGCTGTTTTAACCTCAGTATCAGAGGCCATGGGTAAGTGCAGGAGGCTGGGCAGAGAAAGACCATCTGAAGGCCTCTAGTGAGTCTCTGCTGTGAGGTTTGAGCTTTGGCTTTGGCCTTCCAGCAGTTTTTTGGGGAGGGTTTGATGTTTGTGGGACAGGAGTAGGTCTGAGAATGAGACTTTGTACAAGTGGTTCAGGGCAGCACATGGAGATGCTCCAAGGGCTGGAGCCCCTCTGCTCTGGAGCCAGGCTGGGAGAGCTGGGAGGGTTCACCTGGAGAAGAGAAGGCTCCAGGGAGACATGAGAGCCCCTTCCAGGGCCTAAAGGGGCTCCAGGGGAGCTGGAGAGGGACATGGAGGGCCAGGACAAGGGGGAATGGCTTCCCACTGCCAGAAGGCAGGGTTAGATGGGATATTGGGAAGAAATTCTTCCCTGTGAGGGTGGGGAGACCCTGGCACAGGTTGCCCGTAGAAACTGTGGCTGCCTCATCCCTGAGAGTGTCCAAGGTCAGGTTGGATGGGGCTTGGAGCAACCTGGGCTAATGGAAGGTGTCCCTGCCCATGGCAGGGGGGTGGAAGGAGATGGGCTTTAAGGTCCCTTCCCACCCAAACCATGTGATGATGATTCCATGGTTCAGGCCCCCCTGGGTGGAAGCCCTGAGCTCGGGGTGGGTCTCACCAGCCGTGGTGGTGTTTGATTGCATGGGGGCATTTCTGCCACAGGAATCTGTGCTGCAGTTCACACCTCTGACATTCTCTTTGGGGGTTGTAGGGAGTGTGTAGAGTACGTGAAGAGCTTCAACATCCCCTTGCTGGTCCTGGGAGGAGGTGGTTACACAGTCCGGAATGTGGCACGGTGCTGGTGAGTCTCTTCTCTGCTTGGTGAAGAGCACTGGGAGAGCAGCTGCTGTGGGATGTGTCCCTGCATTTACCATGTCCCTTTCTCTGGACTAAAATCACCTTTTTCCACGTTTTCAGGACTTATGAAACGTCATTGCTCGTAGATGAAGCGATTAGTGAAGAACTGCCATACAGTGGTAAGTTGGAGTTCGCTTTTTACCTCATTAGCTGAGCTAAAGAATTTGTTATATTCTATTCTGCATTGACCAGGGCCAAAGTGAGAGCACCTTCTGATCTTGGAGATGGCCTTAGTGATCCCTGGAAGCATGGAATGGTTTCCCACTAACAGAGGGCAGGATTAGATGGATATTGGGAAGAAATCCTTCCCTTTGAGGGTGGGGAGGCCCTGGCACAGGTTGCCCAGAGAAGCTGTGGCTGCCCCAGCCCTGGAAGTGTCCAAGGCCAGGTTGGACGGGGCTTGGAGCAACCTGGGCTGGTGGAAAGTGTCCCTGCCCATGGGTGTGGAATGAGATGAGCTTTAAGGCCCCTTCTCACCCAAACCATTCTGGGGTCTCCTACCACCCACTGTAGACTTTGCTTGGCAGACACATCCTGTGTCATTTAACTTGGATCATTTCCTACTCAGTGAGCCCAGTGTTGCTGTTGTTTGCTCTGGTTTGCTGTGCAGTCCCTTGCAGTCAGAGCTGTACCTCTCTGTGCTGTTCAGGCCCTGTCTCTGGTGGGCAGGGGTGAGGCTGAGCTGTGCTCTCTGCAGAGCTCCTGTCCCTCTGGGCTCTAACTCTGCCTCCTCCCACCACAGAGTACTTCGAATACTTCGCTCCAGACTTCACCCTCCACCCTGATGTCAGCACAAGGATTGAAAACCAGAACTCCAGGCAGGTGAGTGCTTAAAATTGTGTTGCAATCTCAACTATGAACTTCCAGAACCCTGGGGTTGATGCTCTGTCCTGTGAAACCAGGTAGAGCCCAAGTAAGGGCAGAAAACAGACAAAAACCAAGAACCAACCCTTTCTGGGATGTCAGGAAATCTCAAAGCATTTGAGACCCTTGCTGGGTTGTCTCACTGTTTCCTGTGTACTTGAGTATCCATGATTGAAGTAACTCTCCCACCTCCTCTGCTCTGATAAATGGCTTTTTGCACAAATTTTTCTCCACTTGGGCGGTGCAGGCAGGTAACAGTGCTGACTGACAGCCCCACTGGGGTGATCCCTGTCTGTTTTTTCCATGCAGTACTTGGATCAGATCAGGCAGACCATATTTGAGAACCTGAAGATGCTGAACCACGCTCCCAGTGTGCAGATCCACGACGTGCCCTCGGACCTGCTCAGCTACGATCGCACAGATGAGCCCGATCCTGAGGAGAGAGGCTCTGAGGAAAACTACAGCAGGTACCAGAGCTTGTTCTGGAGAAATGGGCTTCCCTTTCTGTCCCTGCTGGGATGGGTGGGTGATAGACTGGAGACTGTGTCTCCTAGAATAGTTACAAGTCATAGAATGCCAGAACGGTTTGGTTTGGAAGGGACCTTAGAGATCATCTAAAGACAAGTGTATCAAAACCTTGGCATGTTTAAGTTGCCAACTTTTGTTTTACTGTCAGAAAGTTATGGCTATACCTATACTGCCAATGCCAGGTCTGCTTAGTTTGAAGGCTTTAATATAACTTAAACATTAAAAGCTCTCACTACCCCAGAAAATATAATTTCACATGGTGACATTCAGCATTGAAGTGCCAGTGTTTCTGTACTGTCTTTTAGTCAAGTTTCTTTAAACTTTCAAAGAAGCACTTTTAGGCTTACAAAAATAAATTACTTGTCAAAAATGTTCAATAAATATTACACAAAACTAGGAGCAAAAAGTATCTAGAAATCTGTCATGTGCAAATAGTTCGGCAGACACCTCTAGGTCTCAAGTTTCACTCAGAGAGCTTCTCTAGGAACATGTGGTGTCCTCATATGACATTCCACAGGGTGACTGGGTGCAGTGTATCCTCTGACCTTGGGCCCCAGGGGTGCCAGGGCTCCCTCTCCTCTCTGACAGGGGTTTCTCTTTGTCCAGGCCCGAGGCTGCCAACGAGTTTTACGACGGTGACCACGACAACGACAAAGAGAGCGACGTGGAGATCTGAGGCTCTGGACTGCTGGGCATCCCACGTTGGACAGGGATGCTTGGAGCACTTAACTGGGCTGTGTAGGAGCCCTCCCTTCATCTTAGACTGCACGTGGTGGCAGCAGGAACAGCACCACTGCAGGATTCTGCCGCCTGGAGAGGCAGAGAACAGTGAAACGTGTTCCTGAGTTTCCACCACATGTCACGGTTCCAGCTGTCACTGCTCTGGGAAAAGAGATCCATGCTGTGTGCTGGCTGGCAGCTTTGGGACTGCCTTCAGAGCCTGACCTGTGCTCTGTGACTCCCCTGCAGGCTCCTGCCAGCCAGGAGCTGGAGCAGCTGTGCCTGCCATCTCTGCCTCTATTCTGGCACCACCGGATCCATCCTGCTCTCCCCAGCCCTCCACTCAGGTACCACTCGACTGTGCTCTGCAGCCTGCACTGAGTTGCTTCCTGATGGCCCTTCCAACCCTCTGATGCTCCACAGCTCGAGGAAAACTATCAGAGACCAGGCCAGTTGTGGGGTCAGGGTGGGGAGTGTCCCTGGAGCAGGGAGCAAGGGATGGAAGGATGTTTGAAGAGCATAGGCTTGTTCCTTCTCCCTACACCCAGATTTGCATTCACAAACGAGTTCTCCAACACTCTGCTGAGTTGGGAGACCCAACTTCCCTGGTGTGTTTGTTCTCCAAGAGGCTAAAATCCCTGTGGAACAGAGGTTTGGCTGCCAAGGTCAGTACATGGTGTGTCTTACACCTCTAACACAGCTCCCTGCTGTCTTTTCCACGTTCACACATGGCCCTTCTGTGTGGTAGCAAGAGATTTGGGCTGCTTGCTCCGAGGGGAAACCATTCCCTCTTGACTGCACCCAGCAGACATGGGTGAGGGAAGCTGCTTCCTCCAAGTCCTGTGTCTTTGTGCCCTCACACAGCAGAGATTTGTCTCAGCCATCCCTCAAATCCCAGACTTTGCTGCTCCCTCTCCCGAGCTGTCACCTGGTACCTGTGGTGGTTTGGAACGTGCTGTTTGGGGAGCTGGGAGGGTTTAGCCTCTGTCTGTACGGTTCTGTTTGTTTACTGATGTCTTTAAACATTAAATAAGAGGCAGTATTTTTCTTACCTGACCTGTTGTTTGTCTGTTTAATCCTCACACCTTTCTGGCTCCTGTTTTCCCAAGGACCGAGCACATCCCTGGCAGGGTAGTGTCTGAATGAATGGAGGGAATTCTCCTCTGAGTAAATGTTGGTGAGTTTTCAGCTTCACTGCACATGAGGGGAGCACCCTGAACTCACAAGAGGCCAAGTGTAGTGGACACTCTTGGTTATGCCTCTGAATCCAGTAAAAGCTTTGCAGGAAGCTGCAGAGCTGATGCAGGAAATCTTTCCTGCTGTTATTTTAAATATCATGCTTTCTTTGTGTTGCAGTGTCCATAACAGCCTACTCTTTTTGCACTGTCCCAAATCCCTTGCTGGTGGCTGGTTTGTGGTTCATGTAACTACAACCTGGGATAGTGGGAGGTGTCCCTGTCCATGGCAGGGGGTTGGAATGAGGTGATCCTTAAGTTTCTTTCCAGCCCAAACCATTCTGTGATTCCATGTGATTTAACAACCAAGGGCCAGCTCAGAAGTGGTTTTGCACACACCAAATTGAGCCACACAAGGTTTTGCCACCAGGTACTGGGGATATGGCTCCAAAAAGGGTCTCAGGGGAAAGAAGTCTCGAGGTTGTAAATACAAAGACACTTCTGGGCACAGATTGTGGGTGAGTACTCTGGAGAAGCCTTGCTGTGTGCTGACCCTGGGCTTGTGCCATTCCTGCATTCATTTGGCTACACAGACCTTACTCTGCCCCCTGTTTGATCATCAGCTGTATTTGTTCCTAGTGTTCTGCACCTGAGAAAATGTTCTTGGCAACTCAGGAGATACAAAATGCTGCTCCACTGACTGGCCAGACTTGGGGAATAATAGAAAACAATAGAAAATAAATTGGTTTCTTCCTAGCTTGCCATCTCCCCTGGTGTCAGAGCTGGTGTGTTCCCTCTGCTGCTGTCACCACCCTTATGGCAAAACTGATTTACAGCAGGAATCCAGGCTCCCACCTTGTGTTTGGAATAAAAAGGGAATTTTCCCCTGTAATTCTCTTAGCCATGAAGATGGACATGACTTCACCTTGCAGACCCCCTAGCCACCTCTTCCCCAGCACTGCCCAGGCTTTGTCTTTTCAGAGTTCCACTGTCTCCTGCATTTTGAAACAGGGCTGGGGTCTGGAGCATCATCTCACTTGGGTTTCTAAAGGTGGATTTGTTTTTCCTGCTTTTGGAAATGGCTGGAAAGCTTGGTCTGCAGAGATCTTGCTCTCCACTGTTTCAGGGCTGCTGGAGCCACATTTATCCCTGGCATTTATCCCATCCCCTGTCATGGGCTCCAGGGTAGAGACCAGGGTGAACCTGACACCCTCACACTCCTTGATACCCCAGGTAAGGTGGCACACCTGAAACTCCACATCACTGGCACCAAACTGCTTGGCTGCCCCCTAAAACATGGGGTGGGCTGGGAAAGACTGCAGTTAATGCTTTGGGGGAGAGGCTGAAAGGAGATATTGAAGGCACCGAGAGAGAGAAAAGGCTTCATGCTCCTGTTCCCTCCCTGCAGCTTCACTCCAAGCACTTCAGTGAATGTCCAGCCACCTGCAGCAACTCCTTCCCACCACCTTCTCCACTCCTTGGTTGTTCTGGAATGAGGAATGTTCTCCTGCCCTCGGCTTCAGATCTGAAGGAGCCTGTGCACCTCGGCTGCTTCCACAGGGATTGTCTCCAAAGAAAGTTCTCAGCCAGCTGTACAACACAAGGACTAAGGTAGGACCTACCTTTTAAAGGCCACCTCACACCTTGATCTGTCAGCCCAGCAAAGCTCATCCTCACATCTCCCCTCACATCACCCTGGCTGAGGGCTGTCAAGGCCCTGCTTTCTGTACTCTATAGAAAAGACAAAGTGTGTAGAAGTGGGTGATTCCCTCTTTGCCTCAGCGAGCAGAGAGGGCAGGACAGAGCACTGAGGGACCTGCAGTTCTCCAGAATCCGTGGGCAGCCCTGGCACCTGCCTTCCTCTGCCACCTCTGAAGGCTCTGTGGGCTAGAAGATCCTTCAGGCTGAGAAAGCTGGGGCTGTTCAGCCCGGAGAAGAGAAAGCTCCAGTATCTGAAGGGGCCCACAGGAGAGCTGAAGAGGGACTCTGCAGCAGGAGCTGCAGTGACAGACAAGTGGGAATGGCTTCACACTGATAGAGAGGAGGTTTAGGTTGGATACACTGAAGAAATTCCTTCCTGTGAGGGTGGTGAGGCCCTGGCACAGGTTTTGCGAGACACTGTGGCTGCCCCATGCCTGGAAGTCCTTCATGGGGATATTATTTCAATTTTAAACAGGCCAAATTCCCCAGTTTTAGACACTGGGGGTCCTGGTGCAGAGCTGTGTTTGGACACCAGATGGCACCTGGATCTCTGGGATCCAATGGAGGCTCCATTCCCTGCTGCAGTCCCTGTGTGCAGCCCTGCTGCAGAGCCTGGCAGGGGCAACTGCACTCCTGGGAGTGGGTTTTTGGGGGGCTCAGGGTCCTGGCTGTGCTCTCAGGGAGCTCTGGGGGTGCCGGGGTGCTCCAGCCTCTGCAGAGCCCCTCAGAGGCAGGGTTGTGACCCAACTGTCACCAGCTGCAGAGGGGCAGAGTTTGCTCCTGCTGCGCATCTGTGGCTCCCCTGTGTGAGCTTCTGCACTGGCCCAGCAAAGCCCTTGGCACCAGGAGCATGGTCAGGCTGGCACTGCCCTTTCTCCACACTCACTCCCACGGCAGAGCAGCCTTCACACCCAGGGTATTCCCTCCTGGGGAGCAAGGAAATTTCTGTCCTAATTGCTCATAAAGAATCACATAAAACACATTTTTATTCCTGTTTTATTTGGCTCTGTCCATGCTGCACCCAGCAGAGCTGAGCTGTGCCCTGGGGCAGGGCCTGCCCTGGCTGTGTTGGTCACACAGGGCAGCTCAGGAGCCTCAGCCCCTCAGCCTCAGGTGGCTGCTACAAACACCTCACTCAGGAGCCCCACAGCATTGTCTCCATGTGGAACAGCCTGTGGAAAAGTTCTGTCTGTATTTATTTCTTTTATTTTCTGGTAGGTGTAATCTAGAGAGGCAGGAGGTAGTGATACTGAGTGACCAGGAATGGTTGTGGTTAGAGGGATCTTCAAAATCATCTGCACAACCCCCTGCCATGGGCAGGGACACCTTCCACTAGCCCAAGTTACTCCAAGCCATGTCCAACCTGGCCTTGGACACTTCCAGGGATCCAGGGGCAGCCACAGCTTCTCTGGGCAACCTGTGCCAGGGCCTCCTTACCCTCACAGGGAAGAATTTCATCCCAATATCCCATCTAACCCTGACCTTTGGAAGCGGGAAGCCCTTCCCTGGCCCCTTGTCCTGCCACTACAGACCCTGATACAAGGTGTCTCTCCACCTTCCCTACAAGCCCCTGCCTTAACACCCATCATTAGCTCCTGTTGCTGTCTCTGCCTGTTAAAACCTCCCTTCATTTACAATCACAGCCTTAATTAACTGAGCTCAGCATTAGCCCCACCACCCTCATCATACAACATTTCTTATGTCCATTCTAAAACTGACCCTCTTCCAGTTTAAAACACTCATCCCTTCTCCCTGGTAAAGTCTCTCTCCACCTCTTTTATAAACCCTTTATGTATGGAAAGGCTGCAGTGAGGTCTCCCTGGAGCCTTCTCCAGGTTGAACACCCCCAGCTGTCCCAGCCCTTGGAGAATTCCTGTGGCCTCCTCTGGACCTGCTCCAACAGATCCATGTCTGTCGTGTGCCAGGGATCCCAGATCTGGATGTGGCACTCCAGGAGAGGTCTGAGCAGAGCAGACCCTGCTGCCCAGTGCTGCGGATGAGCCCAGGAGGCACTCAGCATTCCATGCTACCAGCACACAGGGACTGATCATGTCCCTTTTGTCACCCACCAGCATCTCCTAGTCCTGTGCAGGGCTGCTCTCCATCCGTCCATCCATCCCCAGCCCGTTCTGATACTGGGGATTGTCCCAACCCTGGAGCAGGACCCGGCCCTTGTTGACCTTCAGGAGGTTTGCAGGGCCCTCTCCTCCAGCCCTGCAGGTCCCTCTGGATGTGACCAGGCACAGTCCCACCATCTGAATTCACTGGTGATGACATAAAACAGGGAAGGTCCCAGCATGGACCCCTGAGGGACCCACATGTTACTGGTTTCCTTTTGGACCTTGAGCCTGTAACTCTGGATCCACCATCCAGCCAATTCCTTACCCATCTAGTGAGATCAGCTGTACAAGACAGTGATTCCAGAGCTCCACAAGGCCAGATCAGAAAGTATTTAGCTCCTGGTGCATGGATATGGAGACACAATTAACAGACAGTGGGATTTTATTCACCCAGCCGGGGGTCAGGGCCCTGGGCACCTCGTGTGGACCCAAATCAAAGCTTCTCTTGAGACTGAAACTTTGGGGTTTCCTGATAGCACTGCAGAACAGTCACAAAATTCCTATTCCTGGTTCTCTGCCCCCTCCAGGTGCTCACAGATGCATTTACCACATCCCTACGTGCTCTTTGCATGCCCTCAGATTCCCAGGGTGCTGTGGCATTCTCTTGCTCACGGATGTCTTTCTAGAGGGGTTGCTGGCACAAGTGTCTCCTCTAGCAAATACCTCCTTCCCTTTTCCATGTCCATCCCAGCTCTGTCACCTCTCTCTGGTGAGGCAGAGGCCTCTGGAATTCTGAGGCTGTAGCTCCTCTCTTCCTGTTGTGCCAACACTGACTGAGAAGCAGCAGCAAACAGGGACAGAAACTTCTCTCTTCCTCTGTTGCTCGGGAATATTCTGGGACAAAATGCAGAAATCTGCCCACAAACCGGGGAGCTGGTAAATCAAAAAGTTTCTGCTGAGGAGGAGGAATGGGGGGAGCTCACTGAGGTCCTTCCAGGACAGTTCAGATTCAAAGGGTCCTTTGGAGGTCTCGGGTTCATCCTCCTGCTCAAGTAAGGCTAATCCAAAAGTTAGGGATTGCTCAGGGCATTTTGGAGGATTTTCAATGACAGGAATTTCCCCAGCCCTCTCGATGTAACTGTGGTCCCTTCTCTGGTGTTTAACCACCCTGGTGAAATATTCTCCTTAAGTAAGTCAGGATTCCCCTGGTTGGAGCTGGTGGCTGTTATCCCTTCACCTTCTCCCTGTTCTTGCTTCCTCATTTCTCCTGGAGTGGTGTTGAACACACAGTAACAGCATCACAGGGTTTTGACAGGGTTTTGGAATCAGTGCTGGTGGGAAAAAGAATATTCCTTTGTTTGGAGGCATGTTTGAAGAACTTTCTCCCTAGATCTTGTGTTTCATCTCTGCAGGACACGTGGGGTACCCACTCCCTGTGTCATGCCCTGGGAGAGGGTTTTGAGCCTGTTCCCTGAAGTTCCTGAGAACTGGAGTCACTCCTCACCTCACATGTGCAGTCTGTAAGTACAGGTAGAGTGTTGGCTGGCCTGGGAGGTGTTTGTCCACTCCCCCTTTTATTCCCACCTGTGTATTAGAGCCTGGAGAGAAGAACCTCCCCCCTCATAAACTCTCTGTAGCCCAGATGTGGTTTTTAGCAGCTGTTTTCACCTGGTGATGGTGTTGCCTGTGTGATGGTGATGGTGTTGCCTGTGTGTTTTGGACTGACCTTCCCTGACGTTTTAGGGCAAGCAGCACTTTTCCTGCCATTTCAGTGCCACCCTTGGGGCACCTGGCCTGGTCCAGCTGCAGCAGCCACCCTGGTCTGGGTGTTTTCCTGGGTGGAAGTGGCAATTTTAAGAGAGGCCATGTGGAAAAGTCACTGGGAGCAAGGTCAGGCTGCGTCCCAGGGCTGGATCTTTGGGAGTGAGGAGCTGCTGCTGTCCCCATCACTACTGCCACCGTGGTGGCATCACCTGGTGACAGTCACCTGCCACCCCTCGCTTTTGGGGGAGCTGCAGGTGACACGTGTCCCCAGCTCTGGGATGCAGCTCCTGCCCCTCACAGGATGCTGCCACTGCGAGGAGCACTTGGAGTGCCACTGGTGGGCTGCCCGCCGGTGTGTGGTGTTACTGGGAGGCACTGGGAGCCAGGTAGTGCCCACCACACTCCCCCATCACGTTCACAGGGGGCACCAGCACTGGGGACAGGTTTTATTTGCACTGTGAGTTTTGAGAAGCCCCTGCTTGCACCTCAAGTTAGCTCAAGGGGTTCCCTAAGAGGTTTTTCACTTTATGTGGGTGTCGGGGGAATTTTGGCGGTGGAACCGGGGGGTTTTCCCCGGCGCCCCCCTCTCTGTGTGCGGGTGTCCCCAGGTCCCCGCAGTACCGATTCCATGCGCCAGGTGTGCGCAGTTGAGCCGCGCTGGCTCCGTTCCCAGGGATGAGCTCAGAGCATCGGGATTGGGAGCCGGGATCAGCTGCTCTCCTGACGCGCTGCTGACGCGGCTCCGCATCCTCCCCTGCATCCCCCGACCCCCTCACGTCCCCCCCTCCCCGTGACCTCCTTTTCCAAGACAAAGACGGGAAGTGCTGGCTGCGCACGCATCCTGCCCATCCAGCCCCCCCTCCCTCCATCCCCTGCTCTGAACCTGGAAAAAACAGCTCAGCTTCTATTTCAAGGAGCCTTTGTCCTCCCAAACAGCTTTCTTTGGGGCATTTGTCTTTCTTTATTCCGCCTGTGACAAGAACATAATTGGGAGTGGGTCTCCATCTGCTGCTGGGGGGAAAAGGGGGTCCCAGGGAGAAATCCCCTGTCCTGGCACACAAAGGCAGCACTTGCCCCCCTCAGCTGGCATCACCAGGCTTTTGGGTGCTTAGTTATCAGGCATTTTGAGAGCAGGAACAGGGATTAGCAGTGTATTGTGCTATTAAATGAAACAGGGATTAAATGAAACATTGTGCAAGCCCCTCTCTCTGTTGGGGGGCTCCCAGTGCATCTCTCCAGTGCCCCCCACTCTGCCCGCTGCTCTCAGCCCCTTGCTGTAGCTGGTGTAGTGCTCCCCTGCTCCTGTCCCCCCCAGACCTCCTTCCCTGCTGGAATTGCAGCCCCAGCAGTGCCGGTGTACCCCGATCCCGGGCTCCCACAGATCCCCGTTGCTCCTGCCAGGGCTGGGTCCACCCTGCTGTGTCACTGAGCTTTCCCAGCACTCCCATGCTGAGTCACTCAGGGAGTGCTGGGAATACCCGGGTTCAGGAGCCCCAGAGCCATGTTTTGCAAGCTTTTCAGTCCCCATTGCTCACAGGATGAGGTGTCCTGGCACCTCAGCTTTGGATGCCCCTTTTTATGCAGCAACACTGCAAAAATACCCCCTTCTCAGGTGCCCCTGCCCTGCCAAGCTCCTACTGTCCCAGTGCCATCCTCACTTGTCCCCTGCCATGCAGGGGGCTGTGCCCACAGTATTTATATGTATATAAACGACAGGAATACAGTTGAGCCTCTCTGGGTGTCCCATCCTGGGTGTTCCCTGCTCCATCCACACCCAGACATCCTGCAAGAGCAGAAGCAGCACCTCAGAGCTCCAGCTCTGGCTCAGCCTCACCCTGATCCCACAAAAAGGGGTCTTCTCTCCCAGGAAAAGCCCTCAGAGGTATTTTTGCAGTTTGTTATATAACCAGTGAGACATTCTGTGCAGTTTTGAGGGTGTGAGTGCTGGTACCTCACACCTGGCACTGTGCTGGGCAACCCATTCCTGCCTGAATCCAACCCTTCAGTGCTGGCATTTTACCTGCCATCATCTTTATAGGTACTTTTTCTCTGTCTTTTCCTTTTCTAAAGCTCCTTGTTTTTTTTTTTTTTTTGTCATCCTCCTCAGTGTTTAAATTAACTCAAAAGTCTCAGGACCCTGGATCAGTTTGTGTTTCTCACCTCCCACCTGAGTGATGCCTTTTGGCCCTTTTTTGAACTGATCTTAGGAAAACATTTTGCAATATTTACTTGGGAATTTTAGCCTCAGATTCATCTGCATTTGGATCTACACTGACAAATTCCTGGCTTAAAAGTTGGACGCTCAGGGAGCAGGTTTGGCAGGAAACCCTTTTATCCCTAAACCTTTCCTAGGGACAAAAGATCTGGTCACCCCATTTTAGGTGGGGGCTGACTCTCCCCTCATATCAATCTTCAGCCCTTTCTCCCATCCCACAAGAGGTAACACCAAATTTTGGGTGCTCATTCTGATGTGAAACTTAATGCAGATTAAATATAGTGTTTTTTCTCAAAGCTGGAAAAAATTACAAATGTGCAAGGCTGTGGCATTAGTTTTTAGGAGCTGTGTGTGTAAAATACGCTGGTTTTAATACAAAATACTGTCCTTTTCCTAAGGATTTTGAATGTAACACAGCAAGGAAATTATAAGTATAAAAGGGGAGGTAGATTCA